AGGGTGTAATTATACACCAACAAGCAGTATGCACAATGCAAGAGTTGTAACCACTTTGCATAGTTTATAGGGAAACGCTGGCACTGTAATCACACAAAATAAAATAAAAACGACTAAAATAAAATGTCAATGTGCATATGCATGGGGCTGCTAATGTGCTGCTAATCACAGTTATGCTGAAAAGTCAGTGTTTCTGTGTCTCCGCCCATTCTGTGATACACTACAGAGCTGTGTGGCTCTTCTGTGCACTTCAAAATTTCCACATTTTCTTCCAGTTCTGTTTAAATAAATGCAAATGCAGGTGAATCATGGGTCATTTGTTGTTCCCCATCAACTGCTATAACCTGAAAAGATCAAACCGTCATGAGGATGTACGGTCATAGAAGGGGCGATTTTAGCCCATTTTGGGGGGTGTTTCAGCACCCCCAAAATGAATCAAAGCAGCCCCAAAGATTTCTTACTTTTCTGACAATATTTGCTGTTTGTGTGACAGTACTTGGTTGAGACGTAACATTTTAACTACAAAAGTATAGATATCCCCCCCTCCCAAAATGGTTTGTTCCAGCTCGGCTCTCCCCTACTCTGGCTCTAGCGCCGTTGCTGCCAGAGTGATGTTGGCTGAGACACAGTGGAGCGGAGGTTTAAGTGCCTGGCTTAAAACAGGACATATTAGCTGCATTTAACCTTCAGTTACTCTTTATATAGTTAGGTAGGAGTCAGGCCATGTTTCTTTTTAGCTAAAAAAATATATATATATATATTACACCCAGGTAACCTAAACATGTGTTTTTAACCCAGGAGCCACATTCAGGTAAAAGTGTAAGAACAAATGATCCGTCAATCAAGAATAATGTTGGATCAGTGTTTCAATATTTATATCTTTTATTAGATGTACATGTGGTTTGGTTATTTGCCTTTTGGTTGAAAGTTCACTGAGAGAGGACTTTTTTTTATTAGTGATCTTAGAGAGATGGTAAAATTATGATGACTGATGACGGAAACGAAGACAACAGAGGATGAGGACAGGGAGGAACAGGGGTTTAAATGCACCAAGGAGACAGTCAGAGAGAACTCAGGACAACTGGAGACATTTAAGGTTGCAGGGACTGACAGAGACAGTGACGTCTCACCGTGACGAGTCAAGTTTATCTTGCCTGGCTGAGCAGCTCTCTGGGTGCTCAGCACCCCCAAAGCTCTGATCCTAGAATCGCCCCTGGGTCATAGGAAGTACAAATCACACAACACTGTTTTTAAAGCCTAAATCAACATAAATAAGACACATATGTTCAGATAGAAACCCTTAGACTGTCCACAGTTATATAAAAAACCCTTCTCGCTCTCTGTTGGGTAACTTATGTAATGTGAAAGTGTTTTGGGCTCCTGTTGATACCAATTCCTCCTGCTGTCTGCTTCTGAGTGCACAATGACCACAAGTTAGACCCTTGGACAAATTCAGGGAATACTGACTTACACGCTGGCTACACTAGTGCAGGTCTTAGTGGGGTTTCCTGGATAATTTGCACAGAAACCAAAAAACTGATAACTCTTATGCACCAATAAAGTGTCTGTGAGCCCAAAGTTGGAACCTCTGACCGCATCAGTGGCTGAGGGGCTACTACAAGTCCATCATTGATAGATGGAGCTCATGGAACCTATCCACATCCAACTTCCCCCATTTGCTTTCAAACCTGTCCAAATACAGGCTACTTCTTGAAAGTCTAAGAGGAAGCAGGAAAGCTGTGCACCAGCTCTGTGTTAGCTGCAAGGTATCTGACATGCGGAACACAGCAGGGCTAACTATGGTGAGATTTAAATTATAAAGTGTGCAAACATCTTCCTGTTAGGTGCTCGTGGCATGTAATTTACACACACTCACTCTCCCTAGGAAGGGAACTACATGCACTAGGAAGCACAGGTCTTTATGTGAGATTATATAGGTGTCATTCAAAAGCACCACTATCATTTCTGACCCAGATAATACACGCGATGTCATGAAAATCGCCTTGAGCACAATTAATGCAACCTTCAACATGTCATATATTGCTCTCCACGGAGCTGCTCCAGAATTGTTATCTTGATGGCCTCGAACCCTTGAGGAGAAGACAGCTGTAATGACTATAAGTTGTCCTCTTCACCTAAGAAATCCCTGTTAAAAGTGAAATCAGATGATGAGGTGATTTGATTTTGCATCACTTGAAATTTCCACCTTTGTGGCATTCACTCACATCGATGCAGAGAACCACACAGACGGTTGCATGAGCAAATCAAATATTGTTTTATTCAGATTTTTTTTTTCATCCATACAGCAAGAGTCAATTAACAATAAAATGTGCATAAACAAATATGAAGACAGAATAGTACATTATTGTGTGGCAACTGTTAGCAAATACATAACTGGGTGGGTGCACTTACAAGTAAAAAGCAGTCAAAGCGTACATGTGCGCCCAGCAGGGAAGCGAGACCTCGGTTGCAGCCTGAAGACTGAACGTGTGGTTTGGAGAAAATGGTGCTTTGGTTCTGTAGCAACTATACAAAGCAGCCTCGAGTCAGAAACACATCTGATGTTGTCTGGCGACTGTTACATTCATTTTTTTAAAGACTAAATTTGCCAAATAAGCATTTGGTGTGATGAGCCTTCACCTGCTGAGTGCACAGCTATAAGAGCAGGAACAACTGCTCCGTGAGTCAGCGTGGACTGTAATTATACGGCTATGAGAATGTATCCGGGGGGGTGGATGAGTGCTAATGTTTTCTCATTCTTTAAATAACAAGTTTGCTTGGAAAATATTTTTATTTTAATCACACAAGAGTAAGATGACTTGTTCTAAAGTATCACTTCTTCCCACTGTGGATGTTATCTACTGCATGGATAATTTGAAAAACAAAGAACAAATGTTGTGTATTCTGTAGTCTGAAGGTGTTATCTTATTACCTTACATATCTATCTTTTGTTTACGTGTTTGTACTTTTACATGCAGTCAAATCAAACTATAATAGAATACACATTTTTGACAGGTTCATGTATCAGCTGTACCATGGGAGCAGCAATACTGCGTGACCAAGTCCAACAAATGGTATATGAATGTTACTGGATATGTCATCCTACAAGAGGGGTGGAGTTAGCATGATATGGGGATATCTACTCCCCTACAACATTCCCTGGCAATACTAGCCACTTATAAAATAAGACAAAAAGCGCATAGCTTTCTCTGAATGCATTGGCCAAGAAACTAGTGCCCTTCTTTGCAAGCATTTTTTTTTCTTTTAGCTGGTCTTCTAATTTAAGAATTTAAATTAATCTAACAAAATTCCTTATAATTATAGATCTTTTTTTATTCAAAATAATATCTCAATATGATACACATTTTTTTCTCTGTTCATTTGACTATATACAGAAGTGCAAAAAGACAACCTTCGTCCCTTAGGTTCGAACTCATAATCTGCAGCATTTCTGATTCCTCGGGAAAACAGACGCCTCTGCTTCCTCGCTCCTAATCTCGCTATCTATCGAACATCCGAACACCCGTCAAATCTCTATGCTCGTTTTGGCCTGACATTCAGGGCAAACTTAAGAAATATTCAAACAAAAACAAAATTACATATCTCTTTGAAATGGATACAGTAGAAAATAATTTTTACTCTAAAACATGGACAGTCTGAATTTCAGTACAATATAGTATTTTCAAACATGATCTCGACATGTTACAAGGAAAAATTTAAGTTGGTTAAAATAGTTTTTGTGTGTGTGTGTTTGATTTTTTTGTTGTTTTTTTCTTGTTAAACTCAGAGACCGCTGCTGTGCAGCAAATCAATTGATCTCGTTCCTCGTATCAAAAAGTCTTCTCATCAACAACAACAACAAAAAATTAACTGACAATGTAACACAACTGAAAAAGACATCCAGCTATATGAATGAAGTGAATATTTAAAACTAACACATTATCATTTATATGGTTTGAAAAAAGTTATGAATGTCATTCTACCTCAACATCTACAACGGCTATATCAATGTTGTCAAGTAATATATAGTAAGGCAAAAACAAAACAACAAAAAAAAAAGAAAAAATATCTAAAACTACATACATCAAATAGATTCAAATTCTCAAGTAATATATAGTAAGGCAAAAACAAAACAACAAAAAAAAAAGAAAAATAATCTAAAACTACATACATCAAATAGATTCAAATTCTTAAGTAGTACATAACACATAAGTTCAATGAAATTTAAGAGAGTAATTGTTATTGTTACAGAGCGAGAGAGAGAAAAAAAAGATCATAAGCGGCATGTGAGAGAACTATAAAACATCATTGGTGTTCTTTACCTGCACGGTGATTGAGAGTACATTTGATTGGGCGAGGACCCATTAACTGTAATCTAAGGCTTTGTTAGGTACATTACAATCGGTAAAGACACGCTGCTGTGAAAAACATAAATCAAGACACATGAATGAAAGATGATAAACCTTTTTCCTTAATTGTTTCAGCCTCTGCAGAGAAGTCTCTGTATTCACCCACTGTGGATAAGTTTGAGAGAAAAAAAACAAACTGTGCTTTGGTTTCCATAGTCAGATCTATGCGTGGAGGAAAACCTTTGTGTTTTTGCATGAGATACAAGGCAAACGTTTGAACGTGTTGTACTTCCTCAGAAAATCAAAAATGAAAGTTCACTTGGGATGGGATGTGAAATTAAAATATGGCGACTGGACAAATAATCGTTCAAGTGCACATGTGGTTTAAATGACCGACTAGACCTTTGGGCTTGTTGTTTAAAGTTCGCATCCACACATGGCTCAACAGTGCTTCTTGGGAGACACAGTTTAAGAGCTGCTCCTCTTTACAAGAGGGGGAAACACGGTAACGCAATGTCAATTGAAGCTACACCCTCTACTTTGCCAGGCTTTAGAGTCAATGGACTTGTCCAACGACTTAATTCCAAGAAGGAAAAACAACACTAGTCTATGAAAAAGAGTTATGACAAACTTTAGAAAAACCCTCCATTACTGATTCTAAACAAACAAAAAGGAACAAAAAAAACATCAAATACCAAACAAATTGATTTGGCAAGAAACCCACTTCTAAAACTGATTAATTTGAGAAAAGAAAAAGTTAAAAAACACTCACAATGGAGATTTTTAAAAACAAAACAATACAAAAAAAGAAAAAAAAAAAGAGCCATACAAAACTTTTACCTTCGGTAAACAAATAACACTGCTGAGATAACACTCTGGTTTTAGCTGTATGGCCTTTATAGCACATCACGAGGTGAGAAAAGCTAGCCTGGCTGTGCTTTCAAGGTACACAGGTATGTTGGTTTACCCAGAACATTCATATGTCCAAGACCCTCATGTCAACATCTAGTTTCACTAGTAGCTGTAAAAACACAATACTGTACATGCCTAATTCATTTGGCGAATAAAATCCTGTTAAAATCATTGTGCCTTTCAGATTTCAATTCAAATTCAAGGTGCATGTTTGCATTACTCTTGTAAACGCTGAAATATGGCTATCAATTAAAAAAAATAAAAATAATAATAATAATAAAGCAGAACAAATAAAAAAGGAAAGGAAATCTTGGTCTACTATTGTACCAGCACTTAATGTCGTCTCATGTAACAACGCTCTTGACCTTCTGTGCATGCGGTAATAATAATAATAACTAGAAGAAACTGAGTGCTATGATTCAATCCGACACAGAGGTATCATGTGAACGTTTCCCCCGCCGAGGGGGGGAGAGAGACACGCCGACCCTGGCAACAAGATATGCTCTTCTCTCAGCTGGATGTTGAATTTGACAGCAAATTCTTCTTGACATTGATATGTGGGAAGATGGCACAGATCATGTGTTGTACCCTTGATGTTTTCACGTGTGATGAGACGTGGCAGACCCTCCTTGTCCCACTGCTTGACATTCTGAAGGTTATGTACATAAAGGCTGAACTCTTTTTTTTTGGCTTGGACGGTGCCAACACACATTCATTTGATCTGCAAGAGACGGTGGATTTAGCTTAAATCAAACTGATGGTAAAGTGTGGTTAGAAGCTCTGTGCGCATACAAATTCGAGGGAAACTTGAAGCAGATAATATGAGTCACACAAATGGAGAAAAAAAAACAAACAACTTGTGATGAATAGAGAATATGTGAGAGTTGAAATAGGAACTCACTGTTCTTGAGAGGAACTACATCTGAGTCAAGTACTTGTGACTACTCAGATGATCTGCAGATATTATTGGAATCTGGGGATAGAACAACAGACAAGAGATCAAATGAAGGATGCTGACGCAAAAACGGGCAAAGCTGAGGCTGGCCGGCGCAAATAAGTACAGATCAACATATTTTAACATCATCTCCTCGCATTAAGATGAAGTTATTGCTGGAAAAAACAAAGAGACAAATATGACAAGCTGGGAAAAAAAAGCAATTTGGCTACAGTTGTGGCACAACTGATGCAGACACTTCTGGATAGCAGGGAGAGAGGAGGATTGAAAGGAAGGGAGACACGAGGTGGGAGTTTGGGGCGGGGGAGGTGGATGGGAAACTGTCAGTAAGGTGGCTTCCCCCATGCAAATCTAAGTCCTCCATGTTGTTGACCTGCACGCCTCGATAAAATGCATAAAACTAGTCCAGGATGAAGAACAGCTGCATAATGGTTCATCTCGACTGTTCATCAATCCTTTCCATCAATCAATGGAAACCTATGATTATGCAATGCAGCTTGCTGCTTACATAAAAACGCCTCCAACAGAACTGAACTTAAACAACGCAGCAAGTCATCTTACAGACTGATTTTATAACTTTTTTTTCTGACATTAATAATGAGTATGTCCAGCTTTTTAACACAAAGAATATGGTAAAGCTTTGCTTTACGTGCTGGAAGAAGCAGCAGAAAAAAAAGAGAGGAAAAAAAAAAGCAAAGCACCAAAGGGCACAGATAGCAACTATTGCACAAGCTGTGCAAATGGCTCTAAAAATGTGGGGAAAAAACACTGCCTCATACATACCAATTGCATGTATTCGTTGGAAGTCAACTTTGATAAGGAAGAGTCCTCAAAATGGGAAAGGACAAAAATCGAGGTTACAATGAGGACACACATTAAAATACAATACAGCATGTTTTTGTTGTTGTTGTTGTTGTTGTTGTTGTTGTTGTTTGCTCTTTTTAAACACAGGTATATAATCTAAGAAAAAGAGTTATAGTTAAAATGGACAAGTACTACTAGTTTATAGCACTGCTTGTGTTCACAAAACTTTATGTTGGACTGTAGTGTAGGCCAACAAGAGGGAGTACTGCTGTTTACCCAACCCTTGCATTAACACACAAGCATTCCCAGATTATCCATGTGCACTGAGATAGATAGATAGAGAGAGAGAGAGAGAGAGAGAGAGAGAGAGAGAGAGAAAGAGAGAGAGAGAGAGAGAGAGAGAGGAGGTAGAGGTGCAAACCTGATTGGTGGAGGCAGTTGCGAAGGGAACGCTTGTGGCAGATGTGGTGGCTGCAGACACAGTGGCTGGAGTACCACCGTGCATCATGGGAACTTTTTTGGAGGGAAAATCATGTAAGCAAAAAATATACAGGAGGAGCAGTGTAGCCACATACACACCAGGCAAATGAGGGAAGGAGAAGGAGAGAGAGGAGGTCAGAGAGGGGTTCGATTTAACTGGTTCCCTTTCTTCCCTCTGCCAGCACTGATAAGGATCAAACAGTCTGAGATCGCTGTCTGGCAGCAGCAACTTACTTCCATATTTGCGTGTAATAAGAGTAAACTGCTGCTGTAGTCTTCCAGTAAAGAAAAACAAAAACTAGAATGTGGCAGAGGGAGACAAAGGTCACCACTCTAACAAACCCCCCTCAGTTTTGTTTAATGTTTTCAAAGGGTTTCTACAGGTGTCAGGTTAAACCAGCCAAAAGCCAAGTTTAGAACGAGCATGAGGACAAGTGTGGTCGAGCAATATATACGGCAGAGAGGTCAAAATAACGAAGCTCAGTTAAACCATGAGGATGTTTTTATACATGTAATAAACAACATTTATATAAAACATTATTTGCCTTTGCCTCAAATCACGTAACCAAAGGACTGACTCTCAGGTCACCAAACAAAAATGCTTACAAATTGTCTATGAACACAACAAAGTACATTTCACTAAAACTGCGACTCAAACAAACAACAACTAAAGAAGGAAAGCCGGGACCTACCAACGCTGGCTGCAGGTGTCATGCACAATATTGAGCCTGTCCATCATGCAGTGCAACAGGAAGTGGATTGGATAGGGAAGAGAAATCAAAACAGCCCATCACAAGGTTCATTAGAGTGAAGGGAGAGATAACGTGGGGAAAAAAAAGGTTAATATCTCTTGGACACAGACATCAGTGATTGGAAAAGGCGAAGAGGTAAACTCATCATCAGAAAACCAGTTAATTGAATCTACAGTTTCATCTTTGGTGTGAATGACAGAGTGAGAGCAGGGCTATGAGTGTAACTACAGAGCATTAAACATTACGTACATACTCTAAAAAGACGTGAGAGGAACAGCAGATGTGTGCAGAAGCCAGACTCTTCAAACTGGTGTTTGTTACCAGATACCATTACCCAGCCCCATTCATCCCAGCCCAAGCCGAAGCCCCTCATCGAAATATGAGTGATCACACCGTGAAAAGTCTAACAACCTACTAAAAAAAACAAACTAAACTAATACAAATTATTTGGATTACTAGTATTCATACCTATCATCCTGGGCCTGCATTTAATATGGGGTGAAGGTAGCTATAAAGAATTATATTAAGGCAATTAGTTGACAGATTGAAATAGTGACCCATTTTAATACCTACTGGCCATGCAAAGCCAGACAAAGCATAAAGCACATTTTTTCAAAGCTCTCTTTTAACACTGAAATACACACATGCAATCCCAGCAAGCCTAGATCAAAATCTAGAGTTATCACTTGCCTAATTTTTTTTTAATTCCCTCTTTATAAAAGAAAAACAAAATCTGCTCTGTGCTGCAATCTACCACTCTGTCCGACCCCAGCCAAGCAGAAGCCAGGTTAGACTGATCCAGGCATCCACTCAGTTGGTAAGAGCACTCGTTGTGGTCGCTTTGGGAGCCATACCTGATGGGAGGAAAGCAGCCTGCTGCTGAAACTGCATGCTGGCCAGGGCCTGTTGGTACTGGAGCATGCCGGTGTTAAACACGGCAGAGGCCCCGTTGGCCTTCTCCAGGGCTGCCCGCTTTGGCAGGGGAGCCATGACACTAGGGGCGATGCCCTGCCCATCCAGAAGGAGGGAGGTCAGTGAAAAGGAAAATAAAAAAGCCAGAGAGAGACAGAGGTAAAAAAAAAAAAAAGAGAGAGAGAGAGAGAGAGGAAAAAGTAAGACAGAGAGAGAGAAAGAGAGGGTGTGTTGAAAGAGGCAAAAACGGGAAAGAAAACAAAAGAAGGTACATACGTTAGAGGACATCCGAGGAGCACTGTCACAACATCCTTGTGTGTACAACAATAACAATATCATTATATCATCAGTAGCAAGCAAGCAGCAGTCTGACACAAGTACTACACAAGCAGGAGCATGGTGCCTACTGGAGCTACTAGCTAACAAGCATTCATATGTTCATTACATTGGATTGTTAACTCTGCAGTCTTAAGGCTGACTAAGTGCAACATAAGCAAGCATTAACTATTAAAACAATAAGGCTGCTAACAAGTGGTGTAACAGGTAAGAAGCACAGAGAAAAGGGAGGCTGCACTGCTAGCTCCATGATAAACTGTGTAAGCATGTTTAAGTGATGGTTCACTCGCAGACAAAAACGTCAAAAATGGTCTTAGGCCAAGGGACGTAACTCAGAAAGCGGATCCCTGCTGTTTAAAAACCATGAGCGCTCTCGCGTGCGGGCTTCATCTTGGCTTGAGGCCATTCTTGAGGTCTGAATATCCGTGACAACATTTGGTGATGGAGTGAACTATCATTTGAACTGTAATAATCTGTTACGGTGGGATCACTCCTGTATGGTTTTAAAGGCTTTCCCTCTTAGCCCGCTCACCACCACCACCATCACCACCCCCACCCTTATCCATCTGACATGCACTAGCGACACAGACATGCACACATTTGATTGAGCTGCTCCACAACACTGAACACTGACTTAAGACGTTACACTGAAGCCATGCCACCGTTTATAGAAATTCTACTTCCTTAGCCCTCACTGACTGTTGTTAGAAAAGCTACGGGTGATGAACTGATTGTGGCTCCGAGAAAAATGACACATTTAGACTTGGTGCTTGAGGTGATCTGTACAAGAAGAAAAGCTGTTTTGGATGCGACCGTTGGGTTTTTTTTGTAACCCCGGAAAGCCACAATCACTTTATCACAGCCAATCATGACAGATCAACAAGAGGAAAAGACAGACATTGCACTGAGACAACGACAACAGAAATAGCTAGGTATCATTGGTTAAAACACTGCGCTACAACAAAGCCACATGCCAAGCTAAAAGGTGAAAGGTCATAGTACCAGGTCAAAGGTTGCGTCGAGGGGTCGCTTCAGTGATTTGACAGCCGACTGAGTCTTAATTAGCAGGCAGCGAGCACATGATGGCAATGGGCCAATGGGGTTCAAGCGCATTAACATAAACCAGCAAGCAGAGGTGCATCATGGGGGCAGCAGTGCAGTTTGGGTATAGGTGAGAAAAACAAAAACAAATAAAAAAACAAATCATTGGAATGCAAATATACAAGGGGATAACAGGACTAAGGCATGCACAGTGTGGACACTAGCTCTACTGCTCGACAGTTAAATGATCATCAGGAATCGATGACAGCTACTCATCTACATTAGTCATTGTCACACAGAGATGGATGAATATAGCGAGAAGAAAAATTATTCAACCATTACTGTAAGCGATTCTCAGTGACTGAACAGGAAATCATATGGAAGCACATATTCACAGGTTTCCATTTCACTGTGCACATCATAGTCAGGTTCACATTGCAACGGTTCGCCCCGAGCTTTCTGTTTCACTACGTCAATAAAAGCATGTAGAAAACACTTTGATCAGCACTATTATTCACCCGTGCTGTTACTGTAAGACAGGACTGAAAGCACAATGAATCCTTTATAATAATGTCAAGAGGAAGAGAAGTTATAGGTAAGGAAGCACAGAAACAATGGAGTCACAATTAAGGCCAGGCCATCAGAGACAGAGAGAGAGGGGAACTGGACTCTCTACTCGTGTTCTGCGATGATAGAAAAAGGAACAACAATCAAAAAAAGGCTTAGCATGGGAATAACGAAGCTACTAATGCACTATTGTCCGATCCTTCTTCTTATCATCCAGATATGAGCAGGTTTCACCTACATGAACATGCAGACCTTTAAGGTTGGCCTGGCAAAAGCAGAACTGAAAACGCTACATTATACCAACCAGGAAGGTAAAGCAAGTTGAGTACGAAACACAGAACACATCTGCTCTACAGTCGCTAACCCTAATGTAAATATAAAGCCAGTTGTGTGGGTGGTAAATGAGTGTGCGCACGCTTCTGCAGACTGCTCACCATGGCTGCGGCGGCTGTGGCCTGGTTCACCTGGTGCTGGGCAGCCTTTATTTTGGCCTGCAGGTGAGCCGGCGGGTGGAAGTACTTGCACTTTTCTCGGGAGCACCGACCCTTGATGTAGTCCATGCATACAGTGACGGTGTTGTCGTTGGTGTCGATCATAGTGCTGTCTGCGGGGTGAGCGAAGCGACAGTCGTTCTCCCCCCGAGAGCAGTTGCCCCTTTGATACTCCCGACAGACCTACAGACAAATAGGATGAGGCGAATGATAACGTGCAGGCTCCATGTCCAAATTCACCACCGCGGGAGAAAACGTTGTACAGAATATTTACATGAGATTTCTTTATTTCTTTTTAATTTAACCCTTATTTAACCAGGAAAAATAAGACCTTTGAGATAAAAAAAAAAAAAACTATTTTACAAGAGTGTCCCAGCTAAGAAAAGGCTCAGTCCAATAATAAGTCACATAAAAAACTAACACACACACATCTGCCAAATCCACCCAGGCAAAAAATAAAACTAAAACACAAAAACAACCAAAATCTATAAAGTTCACTGTCAGTAAAAATGATGACCTTAGTAAAAGTAATAGTCTATGTCCAGTTCACTTAAAATTGCCTTAAATTCAGATTTGCACAAAACACAGAAAAAAAAATCCTGATTTGTGCACTCGTATCTCAAATATTAATATTATAATACAAATGGAAGTGATTTTATCTAAACCAGCTAACCCGTGAAAGCCTTTACAAATTATTTCAGCCTGTGCTGAGCCTTCCTCTATCCAACATCACAAGATATATCTGGATACTTCCTGTTCAACTATTATTGAGATCCTGTAATGCATTCAGGAAGGTCCACACTATGTTGAACCATTTCCACATTAACACAAATACGTATAATCTCATAATACATTTTATCCCCTATACACAGCTGTGTGTTGCATCGCAGACATTTGTAAGTACGAGAGACACCAGAGGGCAGCACTTTCTTTTAAATTAGGCACACATAAAGGCTGTTGCTTTCCTGACATCAACTCTGCCTTACTCCTGTGAGCGTTTCAGCAGTGTGTGACTGAACATGCTTTATACCGCGCTATGCTACTTTTGTGACATGATGCTATTAAACACACAAAACTGCTATTTTAAATGGTGGCTGTGTGATATTGACACATAAAAGGTGCTATTTAACGACAAAGTGACAAAAGTGTAATTTTAGTGCGGTTTGTATACGTTGAGCGCTGATTATAGCTTCAGCACTCTCTTCTAAATAACACGCCTCTGTTGTTATGCTCGTCTTGTGCCATTGTGTGAAACGCAATGAGCGAAAGCACCATCTCCACGGGAACTTAATTGAGATGCAGTTCATCAGGATTACACGAGTGATAAACCGATGACATTTCATCACAGTTTATCAACCTGTTTTTTATTTTCTTTCAGTTTGGTTTCTACTTTGCATAATTGCACCAGCTATTATAATTCAATTCCGTTTCAGAAACTGTTTATGCAAATCAAGTAAGGGCACCGTTATTCTTATGCTTGTTAAGCTGCTTGCCATTAATATCTGTCTTGTTTACAGGCTCATTATCATTGAGGTTAACTCTACTCTGACTAACAAAGAGATACACCACGAGGAAGAGTTTGTAATGGAAAGTTTTTCATAGAAGAGATGAGATCACAGTCTGTCAGTTTGTGTTTTACCTCAAGTCTGTCTGTTCTCAGCAGTTTCTGGGCTGCAGCGGCCGCGTTGGGGACTTGGCTGACTGCAGGGCTGGAGGCCATGAGGACAGGGGTGCTGGGCAGGATCTCTGGAGGCATCAGGCTTGGTGACACAGGGCTTAAGTAGGGATTAAAGGCTGCAGCTGCAGCTGCTGCTGCGCTTGCGTTGGTGGCCAGGCCTGGTGTCACCGAGAACATCGGCTGGAGCGAAACAAAATAAAGGCAGAGGAATTAAAGGACAGCGGGGAGCGCAAACTGCGAGCTTTCCGTAAAGACACGCACTGACATGAAGGGGACTCGAAAGACGGGAAAGAGCCACGCAGACAAGAAGGAGCCATATATGTGTGAGCTTTTACATGTACGTAATCTCACCGTGGGCAGTAGCTGTGGTGTGTTCATACGTGTGTGTCCTCTCACCATAGGTGGTAGCTGCGTGCCAGGCATCATGGCATTGGCGAGCTGCATCTGTTGGGCGAGCATGGCCATATTCTTCTGCTGGATCAGATTGTTCCTGCCATTGATCTCCAGTTGGGTCTTTAGATGGGGAGGAGGGTGCAGGTACTTGCAATTCTCCCTGGAACAACGGCCCTGAGAGGAGTGGAGAGAAGTGACAGCATTAGCATTTAACGGCAGATTCAAAAAGATGTCTTGGCAGCTACCAAACTGGCCGTTATAAAATTTGTATAGACATCCATAGTCTTGAGTAACAACTGTGAGGATCGCCAGCTCCTGTACGATCATCACAATGCCAAGGTTTACCCAGGTAACTGGCCTAACAACTAAATACCTACTAAACTAATGTCATTCCTAACACTCTCGGCTTGGTGAGGGTGGTAAACATTATATCAGCATTACTTCAAGGCTTGGCAGACTTAAAAAAAAAAAAAAAATCCCTAAAGGAATCATTTATTTTTTATTTTTTATTTTATTTAAAAATTAAAAAAAAAAAAAAAAAATTTTATTATTCACAAGGGGTCACCACAGCAGCACGGTGTGTTTGATTTGGCAGAATCTTTCAATCCAGACACCCTAAAGGGATTTGTGTCTCCTCGTAGATCTAAACAAGCTTTCACTTGTAGACCTTGTAAACCACTACACTGCGCACCACCTTTTGCATGTAACAATAAAATATGAAAAATGAACACATGGTGCATGTTCAATCTAGTGAAATCCTGCATCCTTGGTTATAGCTACTTCAACGTCAGACACTCAGTTTCACATTGGGTCTGGCCTGAGTCTATCACTAATTGTTAACAGCTTGCTATTTCTGCGAGTCCCAGCTGGGACATGTGTGTATGTGTACACTAGCCCCAGGAGGTCAACTGATGCTGCGCTGCTTTTCTCCAGACATCCAGCTTGGCTACATGTCTAAACGGTGCTAAAAATACCGTCCACTCATATGATCTGTCTATATTATATCAGCAGTCATCCGGAGGTCACGCTTCAAAGCCTCTGAATAATAATCTAAGACAGGGATCCCTTTCTGCTGCCTGTTGCGAGTATCCAATTATGTATTCAGTCTGGAGAGGAGTAGTCTAGGAAAAGGTCTGACACACTCAAGCGCATTCTTGTGCAGGCAAGAATGCATATGCATTAATGCATGCACATTGGGGTCAGGTTCTTCTAACAGGTGGCAGATGTATGTCACGCAAACATGAGAGCAAGCACACAAAACACGTCCGCAGTTTAGGAAAGGCGCGTATTTCCTTTCAGCTCTGCGGTACAGCTGATCTGACTGTGCTCTCCCTCGCTGACAGAGCTGACCCCACTGGGATTCATTTCTATACTCTGTCATGACTTCATCTCACTTTTCCATCTCCTTTGCTTTCACTGACACTGGAGCACCGGACAGGTGCAAAGGAAACAGGAAGGAGCACTGAGGGGAAATTTAATGGCAGGGGGTCCTTTTGAAGGTATTTTGTTGTATCCACTTGTCTGAAATTGTGATCTCAAGTTCTACTTGGAGCTCCTTTTAAAATGACAGCAGATTGTGTTGCAGATAGCTGGTTAAGAGCAATTAAGAGAGATGCATAGCCTATGACTACCTACACGTCTCCCTCGTGCTCTGTGCCTGCTATCTTCTCTTCTGCTTAGATAACAAAATGGAGCGCACAGATAAGGGGCCTGATATTTTCATTGGTCTGTTTTTATATCAAAAACCTGATGAACAGCTATGGGACAGAAGGCAGCACTGTGTCATTCAGAAAATATGTTAAACTTGCTATGAAATTCTAGCAGTGATAGCAGATAGTAAAGATTTGCTAAAGTTGAATAAAAATGAACACAGGACTCATTTAATTAGTGAGAAGACAAACAGGCACAAAGACAGAGCCATAAAATGGCTTATGCAGATTAGCTATTCACATTTTATGTCACACAGTGTCAATGAGTCAAAAAATGTGTGGCTATTTCCTAATGCGCAGGGCAAAATAGATGTTTGAATCAACTTAAAAGTTTCATACTGATCTAAAACACATTATACTCTTTTTTTCTTGTTTTTATTCCTTTCATCTTTATATAGGTGTGTCTTTGAGCAACTGTTAGCCCATGTGCTCAAACATCTAGGACAGGCCAGGCTATATGTTAGCTGAGCTGGCCTCGGCAATTCTGACATATTCAATTCATTCATTTTGAATTCGCATTCAGTTTTATTTATATAGTGCCAAATCACAACAACAGTCACCTCAAGGTGTTTTATATTGTAAGACAAAGACTAAACAACCCCTTATGAGCAAGCACTTGGTAACAGTGGGAAGGAAAAACTCCCTTTTAATAGGCAGTAACCTCCTTATAACCAGCCCAAGGGAGGAATGGCCATCTGCTGTGACCTGTTAAATGCAGAGTGCTGTATAAACACATAGTCAGTGGAAAAAGGTGAATGAAGAAGAAACACTCAGTGCAGCAGCAGCCAAGGACTATTGCAGCATAACTATGGAGGGTTCAGGTCACATGATTCAGCCCTAAATATATACTATCAAAAAGGAAAGTTTTAAGTTCTTAAAAGTAGTGTCTCCAGAAATCTAAACTGGGATAGGCCCGAAAGCCTCCCATTCTACTTTTAAATGCCCCAGGAACCACAAATTAACCAGCAGTCTGAAAGTGAGATGCTCTATTGGGGTGATATGGTACTATGAGATCTTTAAGATAAGGTCTGAATATTCAAGGCCTTAAATGTGAGGAGAAGGATTTTAAATCTGGCACTAAGGTGTGTGTTCAAAAAAAGAGGAGCTGAAAGCAGGTTCTAATAGCACTCATCCAGAGAGTGACAACAACATCCAGAGAGGGGAGGGAGAGTGTGTGTGTGTGTGTGTGTGTGTGTGTGTGTGTGAGGGGTAGGTGAAGCGGGGTGGTTGTAAAAACATAAAAGATCATGTTGCGCTCACCTCATATGACCCCAACCGTCAACTGCTGGATTTGTTATTGCAGTTTTGTATATGGACGTGTTTTTGTGTTAAGGAGGGCAGAAAATAAAATGCTGCTTTGATTTTTAGTTCAATCATTTTGAGAAAAGAAAATGTCATCAACCATCACTAGCAGCCATTTTGAATTTAAAAAAAGCAGGTCACATAAGAGAAAGCACTCTGATCGCATGGAGAGAGAGAGACGGAGAGCGTAAAATGAAAGTCATGGTGACTCAACGGCTGTATCAGTGAAATGTTAGAAGTTGCAGAAGTGATCAGTTTAGACCATCGCGAGCTGTCGCAAGCAGGGTGGGAAGAAAAAAAGAAAAGAGATGCAGACAGGGATGAGAGGAAAACGTAGCCCCTCGCGTCGTGTTTTTGTCTGTTACTGTGACATCACCAGCCTCGAGGAGCAGCTACAGATGGTGTCCACGGTAACAGAGCAGTCAGACACTTCTCCTCTAATACACAGTGACTCCTGAATCCGCCCGATCGCTGCCAGAGAGAGAAGCTCGGCAAAGGAAACGCTACAGATAGAGCTGGCCCTGCAGCCACGACTAGTTAAGGGGCATCTTTCACCGCTTGTCTGCGTTTCCATCGCGAAAAAATTCAAACTATGTCGAGGAAAGATAGATACATCACCTCCGATAATTCTTATCACTGACCAGCTCTTTCGACTCCACCATGGGATCTCAGTCTGAGCAGGACATTGCACTGTCTCGTGATAATGATGGGATTTAAGGATAATTATGCAAATCAAACGTGGGCTGGGCTATGGAAGCTTCAAATCCTTCTTTTTAGGGATTTTTCATAATACGTGATAATGAGTGAATAGATGAGTTTGTCACTGCTTCATGCAAGACATGTAAAAACAATCAAAAATGATTCATCCACATCATTAGCTGTTTCCCTCATTCTGTTTCCCTAGAATCAGTGTAGGCTGATGAGCAGAGGGCATATTTGTCTTCATTGTTCAAAGTGTGTTTCAGGAAAGTGTTTCCAAGTTCAGTTGATAAGAACTATGACGTGGGTTAAACTACATATTATAGGTCAGAGTCATGATTTAGTAGAATAATACGACGTTAATACAGCGGGGTTTTTCACCAAGCAGCCGCTGCACTACTAAACTTTCCCTGCCTACTTTAAGTTCAATCCAGGCCATGTTTTATTTTAATAGTGAGAGTCTGCACTTCCCCCGGTGAGCTCAGACTTGCCAAAATCCAGGCCAAACTGGGAACAATAATCCCACTGGCTACTGGGCAGGCTGTTTGATGATAAGTTGCAATAACATGTCCCACCCTGAGCGCACTCTCTTCTAGCTCTCTGTCTCACACTCGTAGACACACACCCAGCTTTGGTGATTGTGTGGGATTTAAACAAACAATGAACCAACGAGTAAAGAATGCTGGGTGGGGCTGCATCCCATCCTTTTAAGGAGCAGACGTGAAGCATGCAGCAAGATGTTGCACTGTGCATGTGCGCGAGCCAGCAAGAAGGAGGGAAACACGAGACAGGTGAAGAAAAACGTCTCTCCTGTGAAGACTATAGTTAAAAGTATTCAGTAAAATGGGGGCTTTTGTATCCATTTGACTTGCAACCCTTAAATATAGTTTGTTATAAAAGTCTGAATGGTTTAAGGCCAAAATACCAGATCATCTCTGAACTGCTGCCACATTATGAACTGTCCACACATGTCTTAGCCAGTTATTCTTGCATGTGGCACAGCTAAACAGCGATATGAAGCATTCAGTTATAATTCTGCTCTTTTCAGGAAAACGCCTGCAGAAAACAGGTAAACTGTAACTTCAAGGTCTTTTAAAGTGAGGCTAAGGAGATTCCTAGCTTTATTGTTTTTGGTTTTATTTGATTTTTCTAACATAATTTAACATATTCAACATGGTCACTTGATTGTTTCAATCTTTACTGTCTTATTTCTGGTATCAAAGTTCTGATTTCGTGACAGCCCTACTTGGTAGGTTTACATTTTGTATATGTCAAGATGCAAACATCAGCTGAACCACTCTGTCTCCAGTTTATTAAACTTTTTCAAAGATTCCCCAAAAGGTTAAAATTTAATCAACTGAAACAGTGATTCTGTTTGGATTATATTTAACCCAGACTAACTATATGTTTGCCAGATGCTAGTGAAATAGGAGCTGGTCTATATTTTTTATAGTTCAAATTTTG